AAATTAAAAGCTCGTTTTGGTTTATGACAACCATATCATAAGTTGCATGGACCAATATTGTGTCTATGAGAACTATAATACATTGTTAGGTCAACCATAACTTACGTAGTTGGAAGAATTATAAAAATATGGTTGGATCCAAAAATGACTATAAATTATAGTGTGATTGTGGTAACTGCAACTATTTTTTTTTCTCTGTGTACCGTTGCTGCAAGATTGCAGCAGCGTTGCAGCAACATTTCGCAGTGTTTAGGCAATGTTGCAATCTTGCGATATATTATTGCTGCAATGTTGCTGAAATCTTGCTGTGCTGTATGGGGATTTACAACGCGATTCGCAACGCGATTCAACAGCGCGGATGCCAATCAGGGCTGAATTTCGTGAAATATTGTAGCGCGACGAGCTATTTTCGGCATTTACTCACGATATCAGTCGTTCCTGCCACACGCCTATAAATCATCAAGTCGATAAATCATTACGCACGCGTATCTCCTTAATTAAAGATAGCAAAACGATTCGCGCCGATCCATTCGACGCTAATTAACTGATTACTCGCGGGACGTGCACTCGAGTACGTGTATCGGCCACACGCGACAAATATAAATAATGAATATATAAATATTAATGCAGCTTACTCTGGTTCAAGTATAATTACCGTGCGATATCGAGGGGAGCGTATACACTTGCGCTTTTCCCGCGCATTTCTGTTACTCCTGCCGCGGATCTACGAAACGAACAGGAAATTACGGAAGAGTGTAAGAAGGCGCAGTCGAACCAGTCTATGATACCGCGAATCGAAGTCGGTATATGAGCACGCAATTTATCTTGATTAATGGCTCGTCTAAATTTACATTTTACACTAATGAAATGACCGACAGTGTTCGCGAGCTCATTACATCCGTTTGGAATTACAAACGATATATTTTCGATCAACTTCAAATCTCGATGTCGTAGAGCAATTATATGCCACGTTTCTATTTTTTACAGGATAAATACAGGGATTTCTTTCGACAACGGATCGATGGCTCAACCCTTGAAAAAATTTACTTTAAATGAAATTAAAGTTTTTAAAAGGAATCTTTCAAATCTAATAATTACTTAATGAAGTTCAAAGTTTACTTCGGAAATTTGGAAGTAATTTTGGACACTTAAAGCAATTTTTAGATAGCCAAGCCTGTCCAAGTTCCCGCTAGAGGGCCGCGCGATATAGCACTATCTCGCAAGAAGAAAACCGCACGCGGTATTATAAATTATATCACGTACCTTTCGCAATTCTTAGTTTTCATTTAAATTCTTAAAGTAAGTTTTAAGTTTACCTTAAATAAGAGTTTAAAATGTCCAAATTTACTTTTCATATTTCTTATTTTTCTAAAGTAAAATTTGTAAGTTTTCTAAGGTATGTTTTCCCAAGGGAACTACTGGCGATTCGTTCAGATCTCATTTTAAAACAATTAAGAATTATCTTAGAATTTAACATATTTTGTCTCCCTATTTACGATGCTTTATTACGTATGAGATCTATTTTCAAACTATGAAGCCAAGATAAAATTCATTACGCCGCAAATAATCTCACTTTTTCATTTTGAGAACTATATGACACAATAATTTATAGAGATACAGCGTTACACATACTTGTTTAGTATCATATCTCACATAATCTAGAATCCTGATATCAATACACGAAAATTGTACCACGTTTCCGTTATCGGATAAAGATAAAGATACACGAAGAAAATTTTCTCTTAACATTTACTCTGAAAATCATGTACTCGAGACAACGTGGCATTTTGAAAAACTTTATGAGAATTTTGTAAAATTTTACCTTACATTTTACCATTAAAATGTGTACTAACAATAAGTACAATTACTAGTAAAATGTATAATAAAATTTCAAGAAACTCTTATAAAGTTGTTGAAAACGCCATGTTGTCCTACGAGTACATGATTTTCAGGATAAATTTTAAGAAAAAAATTCTCTCCGTGTGCAGAATTATTCTCGATAACAAATCGATGGTTCACCTTTTATACGAACGCCAGGAATAAACTTTTTAGCTCTGCAGTGCTCGGGCGACAAGAAGAACCGTCTGAAACATCCTGGAATAAATAATTAATGGATAACATTAAAAGTTAGGCTACGAGCTATCATTCTTTCAAACTACCAACAGTAGCTAGAAGTGGGCGCTAAGGCGATGCCGAAAATGTAAACAAGGTCCAGTCTCGAGACGAGAGAGGAAAACAAACGAGCCTATTCCTGGAAAAACAGACCGTTACGAAAAAGACGGAGGAAGATGAGATTTACGATATTCGACGAGAGCGAACGTTCGTCCCGCGGGACAAACCTTCCGTCATCGCGCGACAATTGCAGAATACATTTTGTTTCGCCTGTTCCTCGTAGCTACCACTCCCTGCATTTCTCATCTCTCCTTCTCTCCTAACACAGATTTTATATTAAGCCGAAAATATAAGGGCCTGAACAGAATGGCTGTCTTGTATTCTTAAGTCACGAGACAGTTATTGTGCGTTACTTTAAGACAAAGATTTAAAGCACAAAACATTGTCTTAAGAGTACACAAGACAGCCATTCTGCTGTTCAACGAGAAACATTGTTTTATACAGGCAAATCGATATGCTCAAAATTATTTGTCGAGAATGCACGGTTGTGCAAAATATAATATACAGTTTATCAACACGCACACATTTTTTTAAACGTGTTTATTGGCTATAAAATAAAATGTTTCTAGACGCAAAGAAAAATAGAGCGAACAAGCGGATCTTTAGATGAAATAAGTTCGCGTCAATTGCCGATGGGATCGCGAAAGCTCTCTTTCTCCCTTGTTTGTTTTACACGGTTTATCAAATTAACATGCAAACCGTACGGTTATTATTGCCTCTGTAATCTTGCGGTCATTAAAACCAACAACAAAACTCCACAAATTTATATGCAAACGATATTACGCCAATAAAATCCCATTAGCATTTGCATTACGTGCGTATCACGATGGTGCGCATAAATTCGGTCATGCGCGAGAAACACGAAATTGACATGTTGATATCAGTCACAGAACAATCGTGCGGTGCTATCGAGTAGGGGTGAGAGGGTGAGAAATAGAGTATCTAACAAATATGAAAAGAATAGGGAAATATCGCGTTGTCAAGAGGTACGTGTCATTTGCAGATACGGAGAACAATAGGCAACGTTTCGAGTTTCGATGCGACTCTGATCAGCCAAATCGGCCATTAACTTATCCAATGATCCCCATAGTGTCTCGTCAACCTCCCAGAAAACATTTTGCGCGCAAACATCTGGCATTATGACGACGCACTTTGATAGAATTTTGCTTGCGTTGTTGAGCCATTTTTGTACGTGAGCTGTTAGATATTTGCGCGCAAAATTGTACGTTAATACATAAGCCATTTGCGTGCAAAGGCACAGACTAAACAGATCTTACGGACAAAACTCAGGCAAATCTCATACCATGCGTAAGACAAGCAAAATTTGCGCGCAAAAATTGTTATCTGGGCTGCACAAATTTCTCAGATTAGATGGTGCATTTGGCAAAAAGGTTCAGGCGTCCCGAGAGCGGCCTTTCCGCGGAGGCTTCCAATTTTGGCTTTCAAGCCTTCGCGGCTGCTGTCTAGATTACGCACTCTTTAGTCACAAATTTCACTGTAAACAATTCTATAACTCGAGTTAATCCGAGGTCAGTCAATCTCGAGTGCGAGAAGAGAGATACTGTATCTTCAGGCTCTCCATTTTCGCCGGAGAAGCATTTAGGCGAACAGAGGGGTCAGAGGGGCCGGCTTCGAGGTCCATTCGCGTCGCGGTCGTCACAAGTCACGAGAGAACGACCGATGATTCTCGACGCTGGCGCCACCTCTTGGCGTCGTCGACGGCCGTTCGCGGCGCGAGAATCGCGCCGCTGGCGCCATCTGTGTGGGCGGAGTCCGGTACTCGCTCGGGGTGGGCGCCGGTCAACATCCTCTCGCGCGCGAATTCAGGCGCTATCGCAGACCGTCGTCGTCGCCGTGGTACCCGCGCGCGCCCGCCGTCGTCGTTGTCGTCGCGGGACAGAGGGACATTGGCAGCACTGACGATGCTCCTTTCCAGATGGTATCTCCGGTGATTAATACGCGACTAGCGTGCATACCACAGAGAGGAGGAGCTTTTTAAACGGCCCGTCTCGCGCAGCGTGTGAAATGAGCATTCCCTGAGTCGCGGTAAGTGGCGAGACTTACGGAACGCGGTTCCTCCTGTTCTCATTCTCTCTCGCTCTCTCGCTTCCTTTCTCGCTCAGGTCGCTCCGGAGCCGTCGTTGTCGTCGTCGTCTCTCGCGATTGTTTACCGCGAGAGGCAACGCCGATCTCTCTCTCCCTCTCTCTCCTTCTCTCTTTCTCTCTCTCTCGGCTCGAAGATACCCTCGTCGATTAACGTCTTCTCGGCCGACGATCTATCCAGAGCCGTCGCGCGACCGCAGATCGCGCTCTCCGCACGCATTTCTCGCACGGCCACGCGATCGTTAGGGCGGCCTGCCGCTTATTTATATCGCTCCCCTTTCTCCCTCTTTCTCTCTCTCTCTCTTCCTTTGTCGTCGGAAATTCGCCCAGGAGTCCGCGGGACTCCTGCTGGAGAATGACCTATGAGTAAGGTGAACGTCACGCACGCGCCTGGCTTCGCTAAGCACATGTAGTAATTGCGGGTGACTAATGCCCGACGATTATATGATTGCGTTGAGTAGGAGACGGCACTAGGCTGTCGCTTAATAAGCTAAACAGCTCGAAGACTATTACTGCTGAATACTCTCCTCTCATTAAGCCGCGTTGGCTTGTACGTTTCACGATGCGTTTTCCTCGTAGACGTGTGTTTGTGTCGCGAAAGCTGGCATTCTGTAGATTAAAATAGTGGAGACGAAAGGTAGAAGCAAGGGAAGAAATTGCGCGAGGGTTGCAAAACTTCTTTTCCTGTCGTACGCAAAGGATAATTGTCGATTAGAGCTTTCACTGCACTGCCCCTTGTGTTTATTGATGTGCTTTGGAGATAACTTGAGATAAAGTTGATCGATAGGTGTCCTTCTTTAAAGGCTGGTCTACAATACATGGAGTAAGCTGGAGTAAGGAGTAGGCGTAAGGAAATAAATCCATTTTATTTCTTACTCCTACTTCAGCTCTTAGGCTTACTCTCGGTGAATCAAAATGCCATGATTGATGGCATTTTGATTCACCGGGAGTAAGCCTAAGAGCTAAAGTAGGAGTAAGAAATAAAATGGATTTATTTCCTTACTCCTACTCCTTACTCCAGCTTACTCCAGCTTACTCCATGTATTGTAGACCAGCCTTAAGAAATTGTTTTCTTTATTCGACGAATGGTACAAAAACTCGAGTAAAATTTACCAGTTGAGTATATTTAGTTTCATTTCGTATCTTTTCCATTTTTCAAAAACTTTACGCCTCCTGCTTGTACCGTTGCAACATGCAGACAAGTTTATTTCGAAGCATCTAATTTATTATGCTACTTGTCGGGTGACCTGATTAAACTGTTTGACCTGATAAACAGTGCAGTCTTTTCTCTTTAATAACGAATTAACAGAGTTAGTCGCGCTCAGCCTGTCTTTATTTTAACATTAAGCATATCTCGATAAACATAAATACATTTTTAAAGTTTTTACATCACTTTATCTTATCTCTTTGATAAGATTTCTACAAGAAATTAATTTCTTTGATAAGCAAAGAGATCAGATTGGTATGGAAAGATATGTATGTATAATATATTATATCACAGTCCCTTTATTATTGGCAGACAATCCAAAAAGTGATTAGAAAGAAATAATACGAGCACTAACTTGCGTTAAGAAACCACATCATGACGGAGTACAAGCTCGTGGTAGTTGGGGCTGGAGGTGTTGGAAAATCAGCACTTACCATCCAGCTGATACAGAATCATTTTGTCGACGAGTATGACCCTACCATTGAAGACTCATATCGAAAACAAGTAAGCATATACCAAATTTCATGACAGCTCACAAAAATTCGTTGTTTTACACTAAATTATTGTTGGATCCAATTGACAATGGATATATTTCAATAATACGGAAACGTAGAGGATTTAAAATTGTATCGTAGCCTTGCGTCTTTTTCTCATTTCATCAAATTATCCTAACGTGTTGTTAAACAGGTGGTGATCGATGGTGAAACGTGCCTTCTAGATATATTAGATACAGCTGGACAAGAGGAATATAGTGCAATGAGAGATCAGTATATGAGAACGGGGGAGGGATTCTTGTTAGTGTTTGCCGTGAACTCGGCGAAAAGTTTTGAGGTGAGCACGTGGATAATTTCATTTGATATACAGTTTTCAAATGACTGCACTGCACGTTTGACGTTACAGGACATTGGGACGTATAGGGAACAAATTAAAAGAGTGAAGGATGCGGAAGAAGTACCGATGGTGCTAGTGGGAAATAAATGCGATCTTCAACAGTCTTGGGCGGTAAATATGACTCAAGCGAGAGAAGTCGCGCGACAATACGGCGTGCCATTTGTGGAAACTTCTGCGAAAACGAGAATGGGTGTGGACGATGCATTTTATACCTTGGTGAGCAAACACTCCCCCCCCCCTCTCTCTCTCTCTCTCTGTGTAGCTCCATAGTGTTATAAAGGACCACGCACACAAACATTGGAAATCTGGGCACTGGTCAAATTTCTCCAAACTTTGGGATTTTTTAGCTTATGACCCCCCGATCAAAAGTCCTTATGGGCCCGAACCTTCAGGAAGTCATGGAAAAGAGTTATGGGGTATGGAAGTCGACAGAATATAAGTAATCGAGTATACACGTTTTTACCCTTGAAATGTCTCGAATTCGAGGGGATCTATTAAGATAACTAATGGGACAAAACTTCTTGAACTTGGAGAGGACTATCTGATAGTCTGGCCCAATCTTGGCTATAAAGTCTAACTAGGGTCCGGTAGGGTCCAGTAAGGGCCGAGCCAGGTTTTTATGATGGAAACCTGGATTCCCATTAGTTATCTTAATAGATTCCCTCGAATTCGAGACATTTCAAAGGTAAAACCGTGTATACTCGATTACTTATATTCCGTCGACTTGCATACCCCATAACTCTTTTCCATGACTTCCTGGAGGTTCGGGCCCATAAGGACTTTTGATCGGGGGGTCATAAGCTAAAATATCCCAAAGTTTGGAGAAATTTGACTAGTGCCCAGATTTCCAATGTTTGTGTGCGTGGTCCTTTCAATTAACGTCATAACACTCGTAATACCCGTATATCGAAAATTCTTGTGCGTAATATCAAATTTTCGTAACCACGTCTGAAATAACTTGGCGAAAAGTATCAAGTAATAAAGTTACGTGGCGCATTTCAGGTCAGAGAAATACGGAAAGATAAAGAGCGCACAGGTAAACCACCTGGCAGTAGTGGGCACAAGAAACGCCGATGCCGTATTTTATAAGTCTTTGGATAACACCAATATATACTTTTACTCGACTACTACAACGCAGAAATAGGATATAAAAAGCCTTACATTATGTTGACAGTGCACAAAACATTTACAGCTTATTCGATAGAAATATTGTAATGAATTACAAGCACAATTTTTTCTATACATTGAGAGAGAAGAACAAATTACCTAATAGTACATTTTTACTAATGGGCTTATGTTGCATATAGGAAAAGTTTACTTGGCAGCTTGCCATGCAATTCCATTACTGAAGCGTCTTAACCCTTGATTGAATAAAAGAAAGATAATGATTTTTTTTAATTACATATATTTGAATACGTTGGCACAAAAAGACATTGAATTATATATATATGCTTATATATAAATGCAAAATTACAGTTCGTAAATATTACACCAAATACACTGATATTTATATGGACGAGTGTTGGGTCGTGTCGTCTCTATAATATGCAGAAAATTTATTACAAGAGATGGAGATAATGAAACATGTGGCATGAAATGTGACATGTATATATCACAAGTGTTTACTTTATATCTTATAAATATTTAGTTGATATATTATGCTATATCAATCACGTGTCGCACTAATGGATTTTAATCAAACAGCAATATTATATCTTAGTAAAATAAAATTTTATCGATATACGAATTATTTTATAACTTGTGAATTAAGTTTTGTATTATTGCCATTTTGTACATGAAATACTTGCCAAGAAACTAAAATTATCATTCTAAAGAAGAAAAAAAAGTTCTGAATCACAGAAAGGATATCACAAACTTAATTCATTATGTGCTGTGATTAGATATTCTTAAGTACATAAAGTTAGTTAAGTGTACTGTGATTAAGTCTGCAATTTTTAAGTAGGACTTAATTTGGTAGTTATATAATATAGGAGAAGAAAGGAAGAGTACACGACATAACTGTATTCTCTATTTAAGCAATTCGTTCTTTTTTTGTACCATTTGGATATAGATATAATCAGACGAGCATTGTATAACTATATACCAAAATAAACTTGCATGCCGATTAAATTTGGAGACAGGAGAACATCGCTTTCCTGTATTAAGTTTTCGTGCTACTAACATATTATTAACCAAAGGCTTAATATGTAACTATACATTTATTACATAGAGATAGTAAATTTATCATAAGAAAGCTATATTTCTGCTAATATATGTTTATAAATTTATCTTTCTCTACAGTTTATATGAGAGTTTATGAGGTATACTTAAAACTACTATCATCTCTTCTCTCCTAAATTTTAAGAAGAAGCGTAAGCTAGATACTGTTATTAAGAATTAAGATAGTAACAATATCTTACGTTTCTACTTTACTAATCATTTACTACTTCACTATAACATAGCATACGTTCATACAAATATAATAGAATAAATGTATATGTACATATGTATAATTTATTCTATTATACTTTTATAAATATATACATATATATAATAAATCATGATTTATCACGATATACTCATAGTCGAATAAAATTATTATAAATGATGAACATAACATGGTACTCAAGTGAATTGAGTATTTTTTTCTGACAATAAAATAATTTCGATACAATGAATTTATCTTTCAATCAACGTACAACGTAAAATATTGACGACTAGATTCTACAATATATGTTGGAAGAGCAATCAAGGGTTAAATCCTTCAAACAATGCAAACGATACAATTTCCAGTCTCTAATGCGCGTACATGTAGTATTTTCTAATATTAATGTTTTCAACTAAAGTGAAAATGTATGTGTATATATAAATATACACGGAATAGATATCATTTTTTTACATAATTCAATTTCATAATAAAACTTTATATAAAACCTGTTTGTTACAATGCATTCACTTGTCGAATGCTTGCCTATGAAATCGTTATAGCTCCATAACGTAATAGCATCCATGCTATTTTACTTTTCTAATAACTATTAAAGTCTTCATACTCGTTAATAATTTTTTTTAACAACAATTCGTCATTGACAAAAGTTCTTTAGATAGGAATAAGTCATACATCAATAATATCATTCAAATAATATCATATTCACGTTTCAGCTATTATAATCGAAATTCGTAGATGACGAAAATTTTATGTAAAATTTGATCAATGTCAATTTTGCCTGTATTTGTTCAAGTTCTTCAAATGTATTAAAATACATATATAAACTTGTATTTAATATATCTCATCTTATCCAATAAATACGATATCAAAATGTTCACAAAAAGGTTATATCTGTTTTTCGAAATATACTAATATAAATAATACACTGCTTATTTTATTGACCTTAATTGCATATCACACATTCAATTGCACAAATTAATTCTATTTAAAAATTTGATTAAGTCAAATTTGATAACGCTCCAACACTTTTCGGGCAATGGGCTTAGAGTTACTAAAAACGTCGAAATATTTCGATTGAAGTTGCATTTATTTTCGAGCACCTAAGTAAATATAAAATTGTTATACGTCTATATAATTCTGTATGTATCTATATCACTGTCATGTTACTGTCACTATAATATTTATATGTATATAAACTAACTTCTAATTACATATGAAATAGTAAATGTAGGCTTGAGTGTATACAGTAATATATATGGCACGTCAGTCTGTACGTTTAATTACTTAATCGTAATTATTGAATACTACTATACGTATTCCGTCATTGAATTTTATAAATCATTTTATTGTGTTTGGCATTGTTCATGGCTGATGGCTCTAGCACTACCGTATCATTTCCATATACTTCTGCTTATGTTTGCTTAACATTTCAGTCACCGTTACCAGCTGTTTAATCGTCGGCTGCAAGCAACAAATGTAATTTTTTTATGCACAAGCATCCTACATCTTCGTAACTATAGATTAGTGACATACCTGTGTCTTTGAAAGAACCTGAAGTTCCTTCAGATGTGAAACGCAGATATGATGCAACGTCGCTAAATCTCTTGCAGTGTCGGACACGCTTTTGTTTCTTGGATCCGTAGTTTCTGATGGCTCTGGTTTCTCAGCAACATTCTGCATATTTAATTGTATAAGTTAAATACAATATTTTATCGTAATTTATTTCGAAAATTGCATTAAATGATATATTAAACAATTTTTTTGTTCACAAACAAATGTGATACATAATATTGAAATAAATTTAAGATATACACTTACAGACAGCTGATCAAGGAACACTACCATTCGTTCTTTATTTTTCAGTATGAATGGATTTACAACTTCCATGTACGGTTCTTTTCCACCAAATTCGACTAAATTAGCCAAATTTTGTAGACATTTTGCCACCATGACTAATGATCTGTAAAAGTTAAACAATTATAGCATAACAAATAGAAAATATTCAAAACGTTATATGTTATACGAATTTCAATTTACGTGATTTTAATTCAAGTAATAATTTTTGAAATTCACATTTAAATAATATCATACCTCGCAGCAGATGGAGACGGTGGCTCAGCTATTAGATTAAACGATCTAGGATTTAATATGGCAGGGCAGAGAAGGCGTAGAAATATGAATCCGCTGACAACTCGAGTTCTGACTAGTCTTTCGTGTGGCCACTTAGCAACGACTGCTCTTTGCAAGCACCCGCAAATGTATCTGAGAGTTCTCGGACAAGCATCGGGACTCGTGAAGATACTTAATGTAACTTCATCCAGCACCTAAGATGAGAAAATATTACGCAATAATATTTTTGCGAACATCGCTAATTATATTAATAAGCATTGTAACACTGCAAAGGAAATAATACTTGTAACAAAAATTCAGCATTATTGCATGCATCTTCTGGGGAATCCATTTTCGTTGGATTCAATTCGCAGCTCTGTTTGCTTTCGATTAGTTTCACGATCGTATCACGCAAAGCAGCTTTTAAAAACGAAGTACAAACAGATTTCATATATAAATCCATTAAAGTCGTAGTAAGACTGGCAGCTCTAAACAGAGTTGGGGTTTCATCTTCTTTCTCAACCTAATTGAAATACATTTTATATTAATTATAATTTTATATGCTTAATAATATCTTTTTGACTAAATTTTAAATCGGTTCTTTTTAAGATATAAATAAAGTACAAAAACGTAAACGCCATTTAGGACTTGGCATATTTTTTGCTTGTATACCAAATTACAACTCACTTCAGCTTGATTTAATGATCGCAGAAGCTCAGCTTCCTTTCTTTCATGCCTAAAAATCAATAATGTCAGGCTCAACATGTACCTATAATTAAACGATTATTATAGGACAATTATTTATACCTAAAGATTCTAAGAAGACTATTTGCCAAGGGTACTCTGTCTAAATGGCATACGTCCGCTAATGCCTTAACAACATGTAGTTCTGGATCTAATAATAATTGCTGAAGAGGGCTATATTCCTCAGGAGGCATAGCTAAATCATGTCTGTATCTGTAATATAGTTATCTTTATTGTGTAAGACGTTTATAGTCAGAAATATATATATATATATATATATATATATATATATAATTAAGATATTTTTATATATTCCACATTGTATTATAGATTAGCCAACATTCTTAATCTTTACCGTATGCGTAAACGCAACGCGCCCCATTCTCCGATTGGAGTCACTCCTGATAACGGATACCACTCGTCCATTTCTTCTCCGTTAGTCAAACTCGCTAATTCAACCGTTAGATCTGCAACCTCTGTGTCTTTGCTGCGTTTACCCTTGTTGTACAAAGTGAGCGAAAAGGACATAACATCTGGAGGTACATCCCTGTCAGAAAAATTAATAAATATAGTAGGATTCGTATTTGAGACTCTAGTCCACATAAGGTTTCGCATACGTACTCTAGAATGAATTCTTCATCCCAGAGCGGATGTAATCCTGTTTTAACCTTTGTGCGAGCGACTTTAACATTATTTAAAGCCACTATAATAAACGGACTCGGAACTAGCTTATACGGAAGCCTATGTGCGTCTAAGATATGCAGATGCAATGAACGTAATTCACGGAGACGGGCGACTTTCGGAGCACGGGTGAGTTGTGATACACATAATGGTTTCAAGGCATTAATCCAGTCTAACGCGTTTTCGGAATTCGGGGCAGCCAGGTAAGTTATGGTGGCCAGACACGGTAAAGCACGTTCAACTAATTGGAAACAATGAGGCCTATCAAACACACTTTCGTGGACCTAAAAAGACACTTTGGTAACTCATCTCATGTTTACTCTATGGCGTTATTCCCTTCGTTCGCTAATAAGACATAGCACATCATGCATGTTATCACAATTATTTTTATGTTATTCAATTTTTCCTCAGATTTTGGTATGTTAATACTGACTTTATCATACATTGTTTAATGTTGTACACATTCCTCACCTGGTATAAATAAGCGCAACTTAAGTCAATGAGACCTTTTGGCTTGGTCCTTTTGGGATTGTCGTATAGATAGAGATGCGTGTCGGTAGCATCCACCAATAAGACAAAATACAATGCTTTCCATTTTTTGTTTTTCTCCGATTTTTTTTCCAAATATCCCTGCATTTTGATCCCCTTGTTCTTCTTCGCTCCTGATTGCTCTCGACATTCTCGCAAAGTCGCATATATTTTCTCGGCGTGTTGAACCTCTCTGTTTACCCTGACGCTGCCATCAGGTTCGGTTACCATTGCTTGAACCAAAGTATGCCCCTCCACAATTTGTTCCTTTCGGTATCTGTGATGCAAAGGTACAGCAAGGTAAAATAAGAATATCAAAGATACTGCCTTTTGCAGGAAATAAAAATAAAACTATACCTATTAATTACAGCGTCAAGACATTCAAACGTTCTACCTCCCATAAGATACCGCACTCCTTTTTTCTCGATTCTGAATCTCTGTATTTGGTTGTTTATATGGAAGAAAAGTGAGTAATCTCCTGGACTATTGTCCGATGGTCTGACCTGGGTGTATAGAAAACGTGGTTTAGCTTTGTCACTTTAAAACTTTTCGCTTATACTTGGCGCGAGACACTACCGTGTCTCATGATATTAAGATATTATGATATTAAGAAGAAGAAAAACAAATCAACGAGAAAATGTATAACAGTATTTAAAATGCGAGAGAATCATCATTTTCTTACTAGGAAACTTCCAGGTCCTGCTTTTACTAGCATGTCAACTGCCTCACTTTTAGTGACATTGGGATGAAACCAAGAAAACACTGTGTTAGGATCTATGGAATCATCAAGATCCTCCACCAATTCCCGAAATATTAAACCCTGTTCGCCAGTTCTGTGGGCAGTGACCCACAACCACCCATCGCCCATATCATTGTGCACAAAAAATATATCCCCCTTTTGAAAGCTCAGTTCGTCAGTATCCGGCATTTTTGTATATGGCAGTATTGCGACGATTCGTTTCTTATCGTTCACTGGCTCCGGGGGTGGCGTCGGATGTATAAGTCTTTCTCTCTTTAAGAGATCCGAACAATGAGTATAATACGCAACTAGATCTGAGAGACTGTTAAATTGACGACCACCTACAACATTATTACAGTTTAGGAATTGAATATTCAACAAAATCTTTTTGTAAAATGATACAAACGTAGAAAGTTTTATGTACATGTCACTTAATAAACATATTCGAATCATCTCTTGCAAATATATTAATCTAAGATTTCGTTTGACCTGCATCACTTTCAAATGTTGTACATTAAATCTTTTGAAATATTATCTTAAAATGTTTCAAATCATATACATAGAACAATTACTGTATTATACATTTAACATGGTATATCCTGAGCATGACCAACATTTTTTAAATAGAGTAATGGAATAAGGCCAGTACATTTACGAGCAACTAATCGATTACATTAGATTAAAATAATTAGTTATAAAGAGTCATTGGTTTACAGTGTTACAAAGAAGATTACGTATAAAGATAAAAGAAACGCATTATTTTTAATCCTAAATGAATAGTTAAACATAGATAAAATTGTTAAAAATATATAAAATGTAAAAACCTAAACAAATAGTTAAACATTTTTTAAATTTTATTATCTCAATTTCTACCAATGTAATAATCTCCACAGACAGCTGTGATTCGGAAATGATTTATTCCAGTCCTTCCCAGATAAGACAAGACGTAACTTCCAGGCTTTCTGTCGCTTTCGCGAACTAAATAACTGCCCATTTTACTCGCATCCCACAGTCTTTCTTCTGCCGTAAATCTATCTAATCGACCGTGATACCACCTGCAAAAGATCACGCGCGTCTATATT